ACGACTGTTTTCTTTTACGAAAATATTAGATTTGTTTAGTTTCCGAGATATTCATAAAAAATTACCGAGTTCAGACTAGAAAAATTGTTAGCAATTATGAAGAGAAAACGTGAGCGGGAACGAAGTGGACAATTACTCTACTATCTAACTGAAACACATTTCTGTATATTGTAGAAACCGAATGCGATAAAGTGAGACGTAACGATAGAAAACAAAATTCTCTATAGTTCCGTCTCACTTCATCGCATTCGACTTCTTGAATGGAAGAGTCCTCTTACCCTTATATACTTTTAACTTTTTGCACTCAGGAGGTGACTCTCAGTCACCACTTGATTTGAAGCAGTAAAACTATAAAATTTGATAAGTAATAATGAACTGTGTATAATGCATCGATGCATGAAATACTGGGATAAAAAAGCTTTGTTTCTCAATTTACTTGTGATTTTTCTTTAAATTCATTTAGAATTTAGAAAAATATAGTCTTTGTTTCGTCAAAAAATGTTAAATATTTCTAATGAGAAACTTCCAAGTGCAAAGGGTTAAATTTATGGTAACTGAAGCTAACGTGAGAACTGCACTGTAAGTAGGTTTCATGATATATGATTCATGATACCGTGTGTAGCCAGGCATCAGCGGTAACTGCCACCGGTGCAAGGTTTAGACCTTTATATTAGTTGATAAAGGAAAGTCGATTTAGGATAAAGAGGGGTACATGGTTTCTGAAAAATCGACGTCACTGTCGCTGCTATAAGCAACTGTAGTCACGTGCCGCTTGCCTTTGAATCATTAACAACTGAAGTAGAGTTGATGTAGGAATTTGGAGTCTCAAGCTGGTTGGTAAGTAAGACTCCAGTAAAACATTACCAGAGCAATCTACTTATGCAGTGTGACCAGACCGAGGAAATTGAGGGGAATACAGTTACCCACTCCTTGGCGCATTAAAGCCAGAAAGCAACCAAACGGTTGCGTTTTTCCCACTTCACCTTACCCCTTCCGCTACCCTATTCTCATCGGCGGGCATCTTCCAACAACCTCCGCAAACACCGCAAAACCGATAAGATAAAGACTTTTCTTGGCTTCATTGTCTACACAAAATAAAATGTTCCGATGGAAAATAATACCACGTATGTACTTACTTGGAACGTCCCTGCCTTTACCTATAAAGGTAAATAAATGGTTAAAATTGGCTGACTTTGGGCCTGACTACTATCAAAAGTTTTTACGGGACAATATTTTACATATTTTGATGAGTGCAACATGCATAATTATTTACCTTGGAAATGATGGTAAAGTGACAAAAAATAAATTTGGAAATATTGTCCTTAGTAAAATTCGTTGATCATCGTTATTTTCTTGAAATGATAATATACACATATATAGGTGAAATAATGACGTAGGAAAGGTTTAGTTCCATGGATTGGTATTTCTCGTTTACCAAAAAAACATAAAGTTATGAAAATGCAAGAGTTACATTCAATGATTTGTTCATTATCTTCATATGGCATTTATTGTCCGACGGAGAAAAGACGTCGGCTATTCTAAAAGTTAAAAAGTTCGATGGCAAGAGGACACTTCCACTCACGACATTAGGATCGACTCGGTCTTCCATGCATGGTCGTTATTGCCCGCGCTGCAGTAACAAAGGCAGGAAGCGAGACTGAACGCGATGGAGTGGTGATAAGTAAAAGCGCAAAATGTAATATACGCACCGAGCATAATTCGCACATACAAGATGTGTGAAAAATTAAGTGAACTATTGCAAAAGTTTGGGTAGGGAGAATCATTTAAGAAATATAAATTATTTACAGACTGATTAACAATCAAAATGATTTATTGTTGAATATATCATTTATTGTAAATGTGCAATTCTTCTTGAATATAACAGTTTCTCTGGTATTTCACTATAAGTTTTAACAGTTGCTGCTACTGCATGCTGCAGGTTTTTGTATTTCCTGCGGTTAGCTTCAACTTTATTGGATTGTACATTTGGTAATATTAATCTGTGGCAAGCCATATCTTTTTTTAATCTATCCTGAAGGTATCACATGCTGGGATGGCTGCAGTTAAACAATGCATTTAATGCATTATGGAAACCACCGCAGTAGTTGGTGGTTTTTACTTCCTGTTAAAGTGCTGCGTCAAAATGATTCTACATAGGTATAGGAAACTGAGGTGATCTTCCAGCTGCTCCTTCTATATATGTTAAGAAAAAATATGTTAAAACTTCATTGTAGCTTTCTTCATTAGGATAGGATTCTGCTAATTGGTTAAAGACTTTCTTCACTTCAGTTTTTAGAACAAATGCCAGCGTTGTTAAAGATTTCAGTTTGAATTGTACATCAATGTTTGCTTCATATTGAGCTTTCAGGCCAACATCTGCAACTTTTCTAAGTAAGCTTTAACTTAAATGAAAGTAACATCCCTTGGTGATAGCATTAAGGAAAGCTCTCCTAATGGCAGTAATGCCGGCTTTTTCAAAATCTATAAAATTTCGAGCATTCTAAAATAGGTATCAGAATTCTTCTGTTGTAATAAAAAGTAGATACATGACAAATACAAATTTTCAATTTGTGCGTGCCGAGTGTATAGTTGGTAAAACATGTTTGGGACTTTATCGAAGGTTCTATTGCTAAAAATCATGGGTTTCTTTAATTCATTCAATACATTTATATTTTCAAATGCCAAAATTCTATCTGGGTCATCTCTACTAGTATCATGAAGAATAAACTGGGTGTATTCCTCTGGAATAGCGAAGTCAGCAGGGGTAGAATTTGGGATGTGATCTTTGCGCTTCTGGTTATTTAAAGTCCAGGTTACAGACAAATTCTTGGGCATATGGACAACTACTTCATCACTTAAATGTGATAAAATATTCCCAAAAACGTTGCGGGGTGTTGCTCCAACAGCTTGAATTTCTTCCCTCATTTTAAATTTGGCAATGTTGGCTTGGACGATTTGAGGGCAAGAATCGTGACAATGGGCTGTAGGTCCTTCCACTATTTTGCCATTTTTGGTTTTCAACAAGGAATGACACTTCAAGGCTCTATTTTTGCGGCACCTCCAGGTAATCACATCGTTCCCGGGCCAAAATTGAAGATATTCAAAACCTTTATACGCAACAGTATTGTTTCCTTTCTGACTCTTTGAAAATTCCATTATGACTCAGTAATGATAATTCAATCACGGTAATACTGGAGTTGGTTCGTTCTACTCTCGCTTACTGTGAATTTTACAAATATTGCACACATTAGTGTTTTAAACAATTTTTTTCCTTTGACCAAACTTTCGCAACCTTCTGGCTTCCGAGATAATCGTGAAAAGCTGCTACCGATCCTTCACAGGTTCACGCAGATAATCTCCTCTACAGGAGTTTTAAGACAATAGTCACAGTTTTATACCTCATTTTGTAAATGTAAAAATGACTTTTACTTAGGTAAAAAATATCGTTATGTATGGGGCTAGTTTTTTCACGGAGAGGGAGTGCAGGGGAAGGGGCCCCACCTACGCTTTTGTTTTACAATAGTACAATTCATATATGTACAGGTTATGGACTGTGCATATTTTACATTGTGATATTCTATCCATGTGTACTTTTTGCTACATGCGCTTTTTTCCTGTGCAATTTCGTACAGTTGAGAGATGACTTAATGTCCAATGGGCCGGCACAGGGTAAAAGGGGTCTGTCGGTAGGGATTTTGTTTATAGTTTTGATTAGTTACGTCAGAGGCGTCTAACTTTGTAATAGGTGTAAACTCCCCTTACGCTAGTAACTCGGAAACAGTGTTCCCCTACTACCTCTACTCAAAGAGTTGCTTGAGACAGGTAAAAGTAGGTATGAAAAGGGTGACTTTTTATGAGGAAAGTGTCACTAAAATGGCAAATTACTATCGAAAATGAGATTGAAAACTGACTAATGAGACCCGTATTTCTTTCAAGGCTCTTCTCGTGAACAACGCGGAGTACTTTTGCCTGTTTGTTGTATTGAACACTACATAGAACTGCTCACATACACAATGTCGGACAACTCCTAAACTGGAAGTAGTGGGAGAATACTGTTTTCGAGTTAGTAGCGCGAGGGGAATATATAAGTTAGACAATTCTGCTTTATCACACACTGGAAGTAGATTTTCTCCTAGACGCTTAGTTTTTAAGATGAATTGTAAAATATTTACAAAAATTGTTGCAATTCAGGTGTTGTTTTGCCTTCAGCATTGTTTAAACATGTTAAAATGTTTATAATGTTATTAACATTTACATCATTCTGTCCAGAAGAGTTCACAGAATAATGTTATATAAGAGAAGTTTAAGAAATGTTCGTAATCAAGACACAACAAATGTTCAGAGTTGAAAATTTGACTTTTTTTTAAAATTGATTTTCTCAAAAATTATGGGTGATGGAGAAAGCACGGATTGCATATTTAAACTCAGCATAAGTACTGTTAAAATCGCCTATTAAACCTTCTGTGGCAAAAAAAAAGTAAAATTTTGTAGATCAGTGTAATTAAGTAAATCTAACTTTTTGGTACACACTGTATTTTAATGATCCCAGCTAGCCTGTGGTTTAACCCTTTGCACTCGGAAGTGTTTCGTTAGAAGTACTTCACATTTTCTAGCTAGACAAAGACGATATTTTTTTAAATGAAGTCAAAGAGAAATCACAAGTAAATTGAGAAATAAAGCTTTCTTATCCCAGTATTTCACGTACCGATGCATTGTATAATGCATTCATAGTTCATTATTAAATATCAAATATGCATACACAGTTCATTATTAAATATCAAATTTTATAGTTTTATTGAATCAAATCAAGCGGTGACTGAGAGTCATCTCTCGAGTGCAAAGGGTTAAAAATGAAGAGGGGCAAGGGGGACATCCACTTTCAGCGCTCGGCCCGATAATTTCGGCCCGTGTGTCTGGATTCCCTCGCCCCTCTTCACTTTTGAGCCGCCGACCGGATTGGTCACGTGAGTAACGCATGCATGTAAAAAGGTGGGGGTCACTTTTCGTGAGGGGAAAGTCACTATGGAACTCGCGAGCTCTCAGTTCAATACCCGTGCTATACTGTTTTATTCAGGATATCTTTGCTTAATAGCTGTTTTAGAAATCTGGATTTTCGTTTATATTATTATATAATATATGATACTGTGGAAAAATATAAAAATATGGTGTTACGTCAAGAATGCTAAATCGGTGCTCACGGGCACTTTAGTGACACTCTCCTCACGAGAAGTTATCTTCTGTATACCTATATATTTTTATTTCTGTGACACTATATAGAACTGCGTTCTGACATACCTACACAGTCTTGAGCAGTACTAAAGTAGAGGTAGTGGGGGAACGTTGTTTTCGAGTTACTAGCGTGAGGGGACTAAGTTAGACACCACTACTATGAAATTTGAATGAGACGAAAGTGCGTACCACAGAATACCGCAGCATAAATGAAAACACTTTTGTTTGCAGCTTTCTATTTTACTCAGAAGGTAGTAGTGGTGCAGTAACTATTAAACGCTCGTCTGTGTTATTGCGTTCTGCGATCTAACCATGCTATTATAGTTGCTAAGATACTTATTTACTAATGGCGGCTGACCGGTGGTTAAACTTAGTTAAGAGTGCTCAGAAAACAGCAATTGTTGAAAATGGTAAAGTACTTAATTTGTTATTTTAAGTAATTAACTATCTTGTTATGTTTATATTAAGACCTTATGTGGACAATCCTGCTAATTAAATGTATTACTAAAAATGCATTTAACCTCTACAATATTTGATCAATAAGGAATAGTCATTTTAAGTTAAAAGTTTTTAAAGATTTATTTCTACATTTATTATGCTACTTTATGTATATTTATAAAATGATTAAACCCTATATATCTTTAACATGTTCAAATTTATTTTACAAACCAATTTTCTTTATTATTTAGTTTTATGAATTTTAGGAATGTTGTTCATAGGTATTAAATTTAATTTCAAACACTTAGTTAAATTATGATTATTTCAAAATTAATATTTTTGTATTTTTATGCATAGGAAAAAGAAAAGTTCATTTCTTATTAGATGATGGTAGGGAATTAGTGGAAGAATATCATTTAGAAACCAATGTGTTAGTGCGAAGAGCATGGAAAGAAACAAGTAATTTTGGTCAGAAGATAGGTTGGAATATAGAAGTTGGAGACCCTGAACCTAGACAAAACAATATAGAAGTTTATGGTATTCAAGAAAGTTCAAATAATGTAAGTTGAAATTGTATTATAAATTTTAAAAGTGTGTGTATTGTAACAAACGATTTTAAACTTTAGTTTGTTAATATAATGACATATGTATTTTTAGCCAATTATTTCTAGACGAATAACAAAGACTTCATTAGAATGGCGTATAAGAAATTTACCATATCCACAAAATGTATATTCAGTAAACGCAGAGGATGATGGAACAATAACAGTTCGTACCACTAATAAGAAATATTTTAAGAAGATAATAGTTCCAGATTTAGAACGTATTGGATTAAAGCCAGAACAGGACAGAATATCTTATACACATCAGTATAATACATTAATTATTACGGTATGAAAATTACGTTCCTTTAGTTTACTATGTGCATATAAATCTTATGACTATTTAATTTGTAGTATAAAAAACCACCTGCCCTTTTGGATATAGAAAAGCAAGTATTGAACGAGGTCTTACAAGTGAAAACAAGTAAGAATGGCGTACAGTGTCCAACAAGCTAATAAAAACTTTTTATTTTCAATATTCTTTTGTTTTTTGCTTTGACCAAAGTCACATTTATAAATATGTTCATTTTCACACAAGGAGACAGTAAAGAAACTATCTTTGATCCTTTAGCGACAGTATTTGCAAAATATTTTTTTTTAATATAGCTATACCTATGTATTGGGAAACAATGAAACAAATTTTTAATAACTGTGTAGACATTATATATAACCTAATGGGAACTATAAGCAAATATTTTGTTTATATTAATTCGTGTTTCTGTGAAATATATTTAGAATGATTAATAATATACTTTAAAGCCAATTCAATTCATTGATGTAGAGGCGTTGCGCGCGAAAATCGAGAAACTGATCGATAGTTTTGCGTCGCGCTGACATCTACTGCCTTTTTCTGCTGCGCATATGTACTGTGTTAGTGGTTTGCATTTTGGTGTTATGCTTTTCATTTCACATCAAAATACGTGAATAAATGACGAATATGCCGAAATCTGTACCCGCAAGGTAAGTAATATTTTTTTTTTGTTTTACACGTTTCTAACGAGTTCATTCAAGCATTTAAATATTCCTGTTATTGGTCTTAGTCTGAGGTCACATTGCAAAGAGGTTATGTTATGCCGACTTTTCCTATTGTTTTCAATTTTTTATTATTAACATCACGGAATATAAACTACTTAAATAATTTTGAATACATTGACAGTTGCAAACATGTAAATGTATATTTTATTCAACAAGGATCAATCATAAATATTTAATTTTTTTCGTAGCTGAAGTACATTTATCTAGTTACCGATATTAATGTCCTTTCACATAATGAATTTGTCAATAAAAATAAATCAAAATATATTCGAATGTTGTATTGAACAGATTATAATATTTAAGATTCTAGTTTTTAACATTTTTAACGTTTTAGGGTGCAAAATCCAAGTTTTAAGAGGAAATTTTTTTTACGAGAACGCGCTTTTAGCAGATGTAGGTAAAGCAGTTATATTCCATGTTGGTAAAAACAAAATGCGTTAGACTATCCCTTTCCGTAAATCTTATGGTTCTTTAAAAAATTAAAAATAGTCTTAATCTGTATAAGTGATTGATTTGTAAACTAGAAGGAAGTAAAAAATTTGTATAACAAAGTGGCATTTATATAAAACAAGAATTCATTAAATTCATAACTTCTTTTATTGATAAAGAAAAAATGATCGATATCGACTTAATTCCAGTTCACAAGATTATTATTGTTATATCTATCATTTTTATATCGATATCTATTATATGTATTTTGCAAAGCGTCTAACATTGATGACTCAATCGATTTCAATGTCGTTCATGTTATCAGACATGCAATGTCATCTTTTGTTCTTGCTTTTGAAATACCGACACTGAGAAAAATTTTTCTAGTCCAGTAGCGCACTCTAAATAAGTAGTATCTGAATGGTCAGTTATCAAACTACATAAAACTGCAGCATGTGAAGTATGTGAAATACAGTGAAGCTTTGATAACTCAAATCTCAAAGGAACAGAAAGAATGTTTAAGTTTTTGAGTACGGGAAGTTTAACAAAGAAAAATTCAAATTCTAGAAAGGTCAATCGTCCGAAAATCTGACAAAGCGATTTTTGGTGATGTGAAGGTTAAGGTGTAAAATTTCGAGAAAAAGTGTTTTATCACTTTAGTGTCACTCCCTGTAATTTTGTAAACTATTATTCTGTGATTGGATTGATTTTTATGATGCACTTTAGTTCCGATGATTTTTAGGACAAACTTCTAGACGACATTCATGTTCTCCGTGTTTTATGATACCATTAATAAATAGTAATTAACCCTCTGCCGGTAACATGGTTTTTTACCGACATGATTGTCAATACGAATCATTTATGTTGAGTCTTGATTTTTCATTGTTGTGATTTCTGTAGAAATATTTTTGATATTGTTCTGTAGAAGAATTTTATGATACTTACTGTAATCTCCAGTTTAATACACAAATAATATTTCAGCTAACTATTCATATTAATTTGCAATAATAATTAAAAATCAATAAGTCATGAAAAAATAAAGATTTTGTTTAAAGATATATAGCTATGTAATCAGTGAATATTAAAAAAAGATATTGTAGGGTTTTACTCGTAAAACTATGACCTTTCGAAAAAAAATATAAAGGGATTTGGCAACCTTTAAAGAAGTATAATTATACTGAAACTCCAATTTGTGAGATTTTCGAGTGGGTCATATCGGTGGAAAATAAAGTAAGGCAATATTTTAGAAAATAAAATTACAATACATTATGAACAAATCACAAAGTATACATTATTGAAGGAAACAATTTTTTCAGTAGAGTATTCGGTATTTCTTACGCTGCCGCTCTGTATTGAATGTATTTTTAAGACACTAGCGCGGACGGTAATATGAACCATTAAGAGAACAAAGATTATTTTGTCGCCTTAGAACTTGAAATTGAACTGACCACGGGGAACGATACTTTGGGTGTCTAACCCCTATGGGTATAAGTTTTTTTAAGTGGAGGACTCAGGCAGTTTGTCCTCTCCGTTTTAGAGAAATTAATGAATGAAATTTTGAAGATGACCATACATAGTTCATATTGTCGGCGGAGGGTTAAATATAAATATCTACGTATTCCATAAATTTGAATCTGGATGATTTTTGGCGATAATAAAATGAAAGCATGGATTCAGAAAACTAGCTTCACTCATACTTGAAATAAAAAATTAAAGTACCAAAGGATTTGATTTGTAGCTGAACATTACCTCCTATCTGCTACAAGGATTTATAAAGTTATTATTAATAGATAATATTTAACTGTCCGGTGGTTAAGTGAGTGAATTTTTCTTGACTGCCAACAATATTTTATAAGTTAAGGGAAAGAGAAGGTGAACTATGAATACTGCTAGTATATGGTCTTAAAAAAAAATACAATAAATTTATAAAGAAATTGATAGTTGTTATGATTAATAACTTGGAAATTACTTTAAACTACGATAAAATTTAAACGGTCATGTTTACTCAGCCGATTAACCCTTAACCTGTTAATTGTGGAATTTAATTTCAAAAATCTCTGATAAGGCTCGCAATGAAATCAAATAATGAAGTGTATACTCGTCTAACAGGAGCTAAATGCACCTATAATACATTCTAATGAAAAGCTAAAGCAAAACGAAGAGGAATTACATGTTTATCTGAAAAAATAAATAATTTATTGTTGAAACAATTAGTATCATTTTGATTTTAAGATGGTGTGTATATTCGTTGGACAAAGTTAATTGGTTAAGTTGATGGTGATACTTTTAATGCTAATGCTCGAGAGGGGTGTATAAATGAACATTTGTAGGCGTAAGGAAGGAGAAAGTTTTATCGCAATGATCGGGGTAATCTATCATCACTAACGTTTCACAATTTTTGGGTTTATTAAATTTATAGTTATTTGTTGCAAATATTTTCGTTTAAGCAATTTAGTATTACGGTTATTTGTAAAGAATATAACTTGTGAATTTATCCCTGCGATACCTAGCAATCGATAATGTATGATCGGGTGTTATTATACTGTTAATCCTTTTCACTTGAGATACGACACCCAGACGCCATTTGTTCAACGCAGTAAAATTATAAACGTTAAAATTCAGTATTAAATTTTGTACGAGGTATTAACATATGAAACTTAGAAATAAGATAGATCTTTAATTTACGCAAAATTTTCTTTATGTTACTTGGAAATAGTATTACGAAGATTTCATCAGAAAATAATGAATATTTATAATGAAAAATATTGTCGAATGCAGAGGGATAAGAGAATGAAAAGCACATGCAGACGTATCGGCAAGACGAAATTTGTAAATAGGAGTGTGGGCGTTCCAGGTATGGAAACTCGAAAGTTCCTTGACGACGCACACCCTAGTACTTACAAAAGATATTTGCGAAAATGAATTTATGAGAAAGTGGTTTAATGTTGTTTACGAAAGTACTTGGACGGCCAAACGTATGCAAGACGTCTCAAGGTCATTATACTTAGAAAAGCAAGCGTGAGGTATTAGAAACACCCCACCCGACTACTTAAAGGTTAAGTGTTAACACATTCGCGACCGCTGAAGTGATTTCTTTTACTTTTCAAGTTAGACACAAAAATATGTACCGTACTATATTTTGTTTTACTTATTGACGTTGTTTCGTATGATATATAGCAATTAGTTTCATTTAGATAATAGAGGTAGGTTAATACCTAAGGGTCGTTGCACCCCCACCCCCTAAAAACTGTGGCCACTAATACCTATCACTATTATTTAAATGAAACATATAATAAAAAACAATATCACTAAATAAATGTGAAAGCGAAAGATTTGACCTAAATGCGAAATTTTTATACTTCATAATTTTTGAACCAATAATCATTGCTAAAAAATTTAAATTGCTAGACACACAGAACAATGACCTTCATAACATATCTCAACGTTAAGGTCATACAAAAGTTTGTCCTTTTTTTAAATAATTTCGGATCGAAATTCGCAATCGAAGGTGACTCATCCAGACATTTACCCAAATTTTATCATTTTTGTCCCTGTTTTAACGTCAGAAATTTGCGCCAATATTTGCTAGCTTAATATTTTCTTCATTTTCACCGGCAATGAGTATTACGAAAGCGAAAAATTTGTCGGTTCCGAATGTGTTAAGTGTCAAGGCGCTTTTAGTCATATATGGAAGCTGCAAGTGGGCAGAAATGTGTGACAATGTACTAATTTCAAGCATGGTAAAACCGCTGATGTTTTGACTCTCATCGATTATAAAACGGTGCTTATCCTATGCTATAACGGTAAAGTAGGGAGTGATGCTGTGTTGAGGAGACGCTTTCCCAAAGATTTCTGTCTTAACTTGCGAGTTGTTAAAATTCTTTTCGTAAACATTTTCTTTAAGTAAATTGGGGCTGTATGTAAAACCTTAGTACAATCAGAGCATACAAATTAACGAAATTACAGGGAGTGATACTAAAATAATAAAACACTTTTTCTCAAAATTTTGGATCTTAACCTTTGAATCGGTAAAAGTCCTCGCAAACATTGTTTCTATTTAACAGAGAGCTGTATGCAAAATCTTAGCCCAATTGGATTTGACAGGATTTCGGAAGATTTACCCTCTTACAGTTCGAATTTTTTATTGTTAAACTTCCCGTACTCAAAAACTTAAACATTTTTTCTATTCCTTTGAGGTTTGAGCTATCAAGACTTCACTGTATTTCCAACCTCCCGAGCACATACTTCTCATGCTACAATTTTATGTAGCTTGATAACTGACCATTTAGATACTACTTACTTAGAGTGCGCTAGTGGACTAGAATAATTTTGTTCGTTATAGAGATTTTATACAAGATTTCTATTTATCTGGATAGGTAAATATAATCATAATATAAATTTTAGAAAGTAAATACAAATTTTAAACACTAAAAGCAAATTGTAATCCAATTTTACTATTTTTCTTATTAAGAGTCTTAGTTATTAAAATAATCTGCAATTTTGCATTTTGCTACCTTTTTAATGTTGGTGTAACAAATTATTAGTGTATACTAAACTTAGTGTAGAGTATAATAAATTTAATGTATAGTAAATGGTTAACATCTGAAAGTACACTTCGACTTCTATGTTATCGAACATATACCGTATTACTCTGTCTTATACTGTAGATTAGCTCTAGAAGGAATACGGATCTAATTAGTCAGTTTTCGTCTGTTCTCATCTCACTTTCAAATCCAATTTGCTATTCGTCAATACGGTAACCAATTAAAATAGTAAACAAACCACATAGCAACAGATCCCTCTTGGCCCGGTGCTGCATCGTCTCGGGGACCATCTCCTGTCCAACGAAGAGCAGGTAGCATACCTTTAGGGGCGGCTACTCAATAGATACTGATATCGCAATCTGTGTTTACTTTTGACATTAATTTCGAGCATCAAAGACTACAGCACCAGAACTATTGACGTATTTGCAGACTAACAAATCGTCAAGTTTCAGTATTTCTCTTGTAAAATAACATTAAATACAATATGTTAAATGCAGGAGATTATAAGAAAAAGCTATTTTGTTGTCTTGTATTTTATTCTGTACCTTATTTTTTTACAATATATATAAATAAGTGAAAATAAAAAATTAAAAATAAACATCCCTGTATGGTACTTCACGACATGTGAATTTTGAAATATCGATCTTGTGGAAAAATACTAAGTTTTGCATTTATATTTACGAACATATGGATACGTGAATAACTGTAAAATCATTAACTATAAAATTTATATTATCTTTATTTTCTATTTTTTTTCTGTATTCGATATTTTTTATTATTTATGTTAGGTTATTAAATTGCACTTTTTAATCTTTATACAAATATGAAAAACAACGTAGAATTTCATTTAAAAAGTATCGATGACCTTGATATTTGGAACAGTTGACCTTGAAAAGAACATTTTTCCCCACTGCAAAATCTACACTCTTGGTGAGTGTACTTTCCTGCTAGAAGTATTTTTCGCAACGTAAACTTAACGAATATATTAGGGTGTTTCCATTTTGGAGAGACACCATGTGTATTTGGAAGTAAAACTGTAGATAACATTTATTTGTACAAAAGTGAAAACTTATTAAAACAAATATTTTTCTACATACATCGTGATTTTTTCAAATTCAGCTATTCCTTAATTAGCTGAATAGCAAAATCATACCCAGAAAACAAATCCGTTTGAGAATTTAAGAAGATATATTTAATATATCTAAGATATATAATATCTTTTGATGTTACATGAAATTCCATTACAGTTAGCAGCATGACTCTTTATGTAAGGCAATGCAGTTTTGTAGTTGAGGAAGAATTCTTCAATGTCTGCATGAAAATAAATGTTGTTTAATTAAGAGGAAGATTCTTATGATCTTTTACGTATGATATTATGTTATCTTACATTCAATGTAGGTATATGTTCACTGTTGAATAATTACTATCCAATTATTATAGATATATAATAATTACTGTAAATATATAAAAAATATTATAAATAGAAGAAGTTACAGAAATTTTAAAGAACCATTTGATGCATGGTTTATTGACGATGTTCATTGATTTTGCGATGATTGTAATAATATGCGCAATAGGACAACCATATATTTTTTAGATTTCGTAATATTGTAAAAGTTTGATTAGTCGAATCTCAGTTGGGTTGAATATAACATCCGAATTCACAGTTCTCGTAACGTAGGGGTCGTTAAAATCAGTGGCTCTTTAAGGTGTCGGTGCTATAGGTTTCTGGCGCCACAAAATTCCATAAGATGTCCGGTATATCCCATAACTCGTCTTTGCTCGAATCATACTAGGCTAGGCTTATAGTGTTTTAGTGGTTCGAATGGAGTGCACAACTTTGACCATCGGTGCATTTACTTATTAAAAAAAATAAAGCATCTATATTTTTCGTTCGTATTATTTATGCTTAATCAAAGTAATATTTTCCAATTTTAATAAATTTTGGTAGGAAATAATTCTCATACAAATAGTTGTTAGTTATTTTTATTATTGATCGTCATACATATTGAAAAATTCAAATTAACCTTTATATTGCGAAGGCGGTAAACATACTTTGTTCAATATCCTGTGAATTGTGTGTGTATTTCTAAGACATACTGTTACATATTTCTCAAAATATAATGAAAATTTACTACAAGCATTACTGAATCTACTTCAGGACTTCATTTTATAGATAGTACAAGAAAAATTCAATTATAATGCAAAATCAAAATCTCATTTGCATCTTGTGTTTGTGTATCTATATATTTTCTGCGGTAATTATTTACAACATTGATTCCTCATCGATTTTGATTTTGAACAATTTTTTTCTATACGTGGTACTGCCGCTCGGCCTTAGTTTTCCAGATATTCGCAAAAATATGTTCGAGAATGGTGAGTTTTCGTCTTACAAAGAGAGTAACCCCCGTATGACCTCGATCTTGACACAGATTTTTAAGGTCCTTGTTCTTTACACCCAGGGCTTTAAACTTTTTGGCAGAGAGTATTGGTTCAAAAGATATGAAGCACTAAAGTTTCGCATTATGCTAGAAATTTTCGTCTTCATTTTCATTTATTGAAGCTGTTCCTTATAATATGTGCACTCGAAATTCACTGAGATAATAGAGATTAGGATTAGAGGGGTGGTTTCTCTGGAAGGGGTGGAAACCTGCAACCCTATCTCAGAAAAACTGGCCCCCCTAATGCCAATCTCTATTGCCTAAATGAAGTTCGAGTACACATATAAGGAGCACGGCTGCAATAAATAAAAATGAAGACGAAAACTTTTAGCGTGATGCGAAACTTTAATACTTCATAACTTTTGAACCAATGCTCACTGCCAAGAAGTTTAAAGCCCTGGGTGTACAGAATAATGACCTTAGCAATCTTTGTCAAGATCAAGATCATACGGGGGTTACTCTTTTTGTAAATAAGTACGAAAGCACCTCATTCCCGGACCTATTTTTGTGAATATTTGGAAAACTGAAGCTGAGCGGTGGTAACATGTATAGGGAAAACTTTTTTCAGAATGATGACCTTGATAACATATTTCAAGATCACGCAAATCGGTGAGGAATCAGTGTTGTAAATAATTACCTTTTTTGCAAGTGTGTCAGCATTTGCTGAAAAAATGAACAGAAAGGTGTTATTTATAAATAAATTACGGTTTGTGAGGCCTGCTTATTCATTTGAATATATATTCTTGTAACTTCAATTGTTCTAAGATAGTCGACCAAATGTCAGGTAATACCAATATTTTTCACCTCAATTATTTAGAGTCTGTTTTCATATTTTGACCTTTTGCGGACGAGAACTTATCAATTCTTGAAAAACTCTTTCACGAAAAATTGATTTATGTATCGAGATCTTAAAGATCAGAAAAGAAGAAAACCACGTAGCAATCTGTCCGTATTTGAATAATTAAATTATTCATTTGCAGCTTTCGATTTCAGACATGAAAGCTCGAAGTCGTCAGTACGACGATATTCGACCGCGAAAGGTTAACTTTCTAATTTCACATAAAAAAATGCTAAGTGGTGCAGTCACACCATTTTTATATTTCTAAACAAGTAATAAAGGAAACATATAAATAATTACAAGGAAAATAAATAAATAAATTCAATTTGACTTCACGAACCAATAGGCACTGTTAGACAGTGAATTAGAGAAGTACGATCGCGCTGTCTGGCACTCAAATAGTTAAATATAAATATTGAGCGATAAAATTATAAAAATTAAAAAAATGAAGAATTTATATGTATTTAATATTAAAAACTACTTTGATGAGCAATAATTTTTATAATAATATATGTAATATATACTTAAAACGGTGTCAAGTATTATTATAAGAATTATTGCTCATCAAAGCAGTTTTTAATAATAAATACTTACAATCACTTTTCACTAAAATAGCTTTTAATAATAAATTCTTATAAAATTTTCCATCAAAATGGGTAGTTGTTAGTTTGGTGTACTCCTTTACTTGTAATTACAACTCAAAGTATTTTCTGTAATGCTTTCAATTTTATCTCACGAATTTTGCCAAATCTTAGTTAATTACAATTGATGCATGCGTACCGTTGTTGTAATTTTTCCTGTCATTGTACTGATTATATTTTTATTTTTTTACATTCTGATCTCAACTGTTGCATTTACCCTGTTCATTCAGTCAACATACATTTGTTTATGTACGTATATTTTCACATTTTGTACTGTAGGTGGCTGGATTATAAACCTTTCGGGACGATAATAAATGGTACAAAAATTCTGCCGTTCAAAGTACCGCTGAAGGAGGTGAGTACTTATAAATTAATTAATCATTTGACTTCAAAATTAGAAATACATTCCACAAATTGTTGTCACGTGTTCGACAAACTATTGGTTCTGTACTTATATCTATCATTTATTTCATTGTTACTTTTCCAAAATATAACAGTACGTAAAGATTTTGTAAATATAGTAGGTTCAAAGTAAGAAAGTATAAATAATTTTACGAAAAGTATAATTGGAATAAAAACGTTACATTTTTATGCATATATTCGTAAGTATGTGAACGTATTGTGACACCGTATATTTTTATATGCAACGCTATAATATTAAATATTAAATTCTTTACTTTTGAATATCTATATGAATTCTTCATTTTTGAAGATGCATCAGATTTAAAATGTTAATAATGCATGAGTAGTTCACAGTTGATGTGTTTCTCATTATAATCACAAATCGATTCGATGCTCGAAATCCTCACTAATTGACACAAAACAAATTTTCGAGATTTTTTGGTGTACATTGTGATTAATACTGAAAGCAAAGTCTTTTATAATGTAAACTTAATATTGTAATTTCTATGTTTTTCACAAAAATGACGGTAAGATATTTATTGTGTATATAATAATTTTTTCTAACGTGATTTAGTATGCGATTTATTAGCCATTTAAAATGAGACTCAAATACAATAAAGTGTTATTTTTTCATTTGAACTGAGGAAACAATAAACAATTATTTATAAACTGAGATAGTATTTAAAACGATTATCAGCTGTAATATACACATGTATATATATGCACAGCAAACAAAATATTACTCAACGCTATTTATAATATCTGCATTTGTAATTGGACATTATGCAAGAACTACAATATAGAAAATTTTCCTGCATTTAGTCCAAAATTTCTTAATAAGATAATATTTTCTTATACTGTATGACTTCTCACAATGAGTGTCTATCGGTCGATATTCACTATAAAGCACAATGACTGACCAAAAACATTTTTTGTCAATAAAACAACACAAATAATGCAGAAATTGAAGTTGAAGAACTACTGATTTCTTACGTACTCTGTGAACATAAGTATTTAGTAATTGATAATGAAAGCATCTAAAATGAATCTTATATAGCCATATATATTAATCTGTTTATTTATTAATAATTATCATTTTATTACTTATTTATTTATTATCATCATCGCTACTGTGGCGTCACATTGTATTCACCTTGCACGTTTGCTGATGAAATAAATGCCTTTTATACGTGAATATAGGTGCGACCGTAAAAGTGCAAAGTATCCAAAATGAAAGTTTTCATCTGCGACATATTCGCAAATCTCTTTCCCGAAGCCGTTGCTCTCGAATGTATGGTCACTGTCTTCGGAGTTGCGTTACTGTTCTTCCTTTTCTCCTCTCTCCTGTAGTAAATCAAAGATCCTCTTCGCGGGGGTCGTGGCGGCTTCGAACTCCAGATAAGATCACATCGAATTCCAGAAATAGAGGGTACAGTGTCGGCATCCATACGCGTCTGTGCGTCTCGTACCAGTTAGGTATGCGCTCACACGTTCATGGGATACATGGTCCGGGCCACCGTGAACATGAAACGCGCCAGTGGTATAGAATCAATTTTTATACGTTTCGAAATCGGTTATCTCGAAATTGGGCAATGAACCGTTCAGGTGTGCAATAATGCGGCGAAGGCCACGCATTTTGTTATTCATGTTATTCATTATTTTTGTGAGAATTTTAAATCGAAGTTGCATGTTCGTATATTAATAGAAAGTTTTGTTTTTAAATACGCAAGCGCAATCGTTTATTTTTGTACCTATATTATTACAATTAATCATACTGATAACATTGTGTCTGTTACTGCAATGGTCTTTTATAATGGTTTATTAAAGACTAATTTTGTTTAGGATAAATTATTCTTAATTAATAACATTCAAGTATGTAATGCTTCGACATTTGTAGTTGTAATTGAATTGCTCCAATATTGCACATTTAATTTTATTTATGATCGAGATGGTAAAATATATAATACAAGACTGTCGTTGTATAAATATTTTGTTACATTCATTTCTGTTATCAAAAGATTGTTATGTAGTTTTAATGCATTTAATGTCACATGAATTCTTCAGTTAGTTTGTTGAAGATTGGTCTATAGGAATTGTAATACCTATTTTAATTTCTTATATTGTACACAACAATACTGAATACTATTAATTGTCTCTATCACTATACTACTATATTAGTGTTTATTACTATACTATTAATTTCTGGTTAAGTAAAATGTAAAGTGGGCACTCAGTTTAACACTATGTACGGATATTTATTGTACACTTTATTCTATTGGTCCCAGGAAATTGAATGTTCGTTCAAACTGGTAGCAGAAATTGGAGCTTCAAAAACAGAGAAGTACTATACGTATTCGCACAATTGCATTAATCAGAATCGACTTAATCTTCTATTGCATGAATTTTTGAAAAGTTAAAAAATATATGTATCTGTTATTCTATTTAAATGTTCGTGTGGCGATGAAACAAATAAGAACATATTAACAAACAATATTATTTATTTTATTTTATAACTGCTCCCATATTGGAATTTCATAGGTATAAACAATATGCAGTGTCGTTTAACTTATTAAACTATAGATGTTTAAAATCAAGCTCCCGATCGAGAACGAAGTGCAACAGAGGATTAAACTGCTTCCAACTAATGTTTATGAAATTCGTGTTAACACTAAAACTACCGAGCAATTAAATTGACTTTTTAAAAGTCCCTTATAATAACTCCAAGAGTGCATCTATCGAGACTTCAATTGATTTACAATTCCGTGCGCGTATTGCTAAATTAATTTCCTTAATAATTTCTCAGAAAAACATCTGTCATCTTTTTAATAATTACAAGAAGAAGAAATCAGAAATGTTGATTCGTTTGGTAGTTTCAGTGTTAATATAATCAACACGAACAAAAGTCCGTTGTAAATGACAGACTTAGATGGATACTTACGAAGTACAAGTTTCACTGAGTAAAAATTGCTTCTATACCACTGTGCGACAACACGGACGGGGAGGTCCGTTTGTTCATCGATGCTCTTGGTAACGGTAAGGTAGGACAGCCACCTCCGGGTGAGATCTCGTATCAGTCCAAGCCAAATTGCTGTATTGTTGCATGCCCTGACTCCGGCTAAGATATAAACAAGCTTGATGTATGCATACTCTTTCGTCTGATACACGCCGCACTGCTTTTCGGATCGTGAATACTGCAGCCGATTGTTTGCCTAGTAGCTGAGCGAACTCCAATCGTACGCTCCCATGCTGGTTGCCGCTGTGTGATGTATCGCGGTCGTGCTGTGATCCAGCGGCATTCACTGAAGTTTTTTCATTTTATGGATAGACGAATGCCCAATGACATCTTTCTCCGCTTTCTCTTTCAGTATTCAATCATCGCTTCAGTTTTAGGAAAGCGCCAGTTAACCAGTTAACTGCGCTCGGCGAGTATACACGTCATCTTAACATGCAAAATGCTACTAATTTTTTCAACGATCAGTTCTTTATGCTTTTAGATGAATGTGTTACTGAATGTTGATTATATAAGTTAACAGGGCAGGGAACATTGTTATTAAGATAATAATGAATACATTGTTACAGAACTAGTATTTTTGTAGATGTATTTATAGAATCAGATCTTGTAAGTGAATAGTGTTTTAAAATCATATATTTTTGGCTCGTTCAAAGCAATTTGAATTTATAAAATTGACGTCCGTATTATCTCTATAAATAATACTTATATATAAATAATATCTATGACATTCGTATTATACCCATAAATAATTATCGTCCCATTTGTAATACTTGATGCATCGAATTTAATGTTCATCATTGTCATCACTGCAATAAAGACAACAGAACATACAAAATTATCACGTTTAACGAATATACTCGTCAACTTAATGCTCGAAATGGTAATAATTTTTCCAACAACGAATTATTTATTTTTTCAGATAAACATGTAATTCTTTTTTGCTTTGGTTTTCCATTAATATATACTCTAGATGCATTCGTCCTGCGTTTGACGAATACATACTCCATTTTTTTATTTTATTTCGCGCAAAATGAGAGATTTTTTAAGCTAAATTTCACAGTTGGCAGGTTAAAATTCATAAGAACATACTAATACCTATCGTTCAGGTTTTTAAGAAAAAATTCAGGTGTTTTCATATATTCACCATGATCATAAAAATATGCAATAGAAAATAAGATGTGTATTACAAATATTTCACAATTCTGTCATCTAGGTTGTTATTTCGTACGCTGCAAATTGAATGCTAATGGAAGTTAAGTATTAATGGAATCGATATAAAATTTTTAATCTTTTACACTCGAATTTTCTCTCGACTAAACGAGATTTATCTCTTGCTAGTTCATATATTATATTTCAATTAAGCATGTATAAATACTTAGAAAAGGAATCTTAGAAAATACCTCGCATGTTTCCAGTAAAAGTGTTATTTGGTGTTCCGGATATTAAGGGCAAACTTAACATTTAGTAAAAAATCATTTATTTCACCAGTTTGATTTGCGAAAGTCAACACAATACTCTAGTATATGAGATTTTCAGTTCATTTCAGAATATCATTGTTACTTTATTTCAGTATATGACATTTTATTGTAAATGACAAATATTTTTAACATTAAAACTACCAGACGGATCAAAATGATCCATTCCTGATTTTTTCTTTCTGCAATTATTAAAAAGATGACAGATGTTTTTAGGAGAAATTATTAAAGTAATTTAGCAATATGCAAATTGAATTGTAAATCAATTAATGACACGATAGATGCATTCTTAGAGTTTCTATACAGGAATTTCGAAAAGTCAATTTAACTGCTCTGTAGTTTTAGTGTTAATACATTGCGTACCGGCTAATTTTAAGAAAACTGGGTTGTGTAGCTGGCGATTTTCAATAAGATTAGCTTACATCACTAAACGTATAAAAATACAATATCTTATTGTTATTTAAT